ATGATGATGATGATGATGATGATGATGATGATGATGATGATGATGGGATGAGGATGAGATGAGATGAGATGATGATGATGATGATGATGATGATGATGATGATGATGATGATGATGATGATGATGATGATGATGATGATGATGATGATGATGATGATGATGATGATGATGATGATGATGGCAGGAGGAGGGGCTCAAGGGTTTTTGCGCGGGGTGTCCAGATAAAACAAGAGCCCCACTGAGGATGCAGGGGCGCACGACCCCAGATCATGCACGGGGAAATTGGCGTCCGAGAAGATGGCAATCCTTCTTCCAGGCGAGCGAGGCCCGCAGAAGTGCAGGGAACTTGGTTTGGCTGCCTCCCCCACAGCTCTTCCACACGCCGCGCTGTCCCCCCCACCCCATCCTCCCTCCTCCTCCCTCCTCCTCCCTCCTCCTCCCTCCTCCTCCCTCCTCCTCCTCCCTCCTCCCTCCTCCTCCCTCCTCCGTCCTCCTCCTCCCTCCCCCTCCCTCCCTCCTCCGCCTCCTCCCCCTCCTGCTCCTCCTCCTCCTCCTCCTCCTCCTCCATCTTGATGTGCCCCTTCTCCACGTCGCACCCAGGGACGCCTCCGTGGGATGGGCCCCCGAGCGAAGCACGGGGAACGGACGTCCGAGCGACGGCCAGTGGGGCGGCGCCGCGGACCACGGCCTGTGCGCCTCGGCTGCGCGCGGGGGTGGCCCCTCCGCCGGAGCGACCTCTGGCGGGCGGCTCTCGGGGGGGCGCCGCGGGGCTCTGCCCCAAGCGCGCAGGAGGAGGAGGATGAGGAGGAGGAGGATGAGGAGGCGGAGGAGGAGGAGGAGGACGAGGAAGGCGGAGGAGGAGGAGGAGGAGGAGCAGGAGAAGGAGGGGTTCTCTGGGCCTCCCGGATGGGGTCGGAGCAGATGGGGCCGGAAGGTCGCGCCGCATCGCCGACGCATCGGCGATGCATCGCCGATGCGGCTCGGTGTGGGGGCCCATTTTCTCCACGCCGACGTCGTCGATGCATCGCCGGCGTCGCCGGTGCATCGCCAACGCATCGCCGATGCATCGTCGATGCATGGCCGATGCATCGGCGATGCGGCGGGATCCTCCGACCCCATCTACTCGGACCCCATCTAGGAGGCCTCTAGGCTCTGCCCCAAGCGCGCAGGCCACTAGTTCAGGGGAGGGACAGTAGATGGACAATACGTTCGAACCCTTACACGTTCGAGGGAGGTTCTAAATCACCCCCCCCCGACGTCAATGTTGATCCCAGTAGAGGCGGTGCTGTGGGGTTCGAATATTTCTGTCCACTCACGCCCCCCCCGTCGCCACGCCATCAATGTTAATTTCGGGGGGTCTGGGGGGCATCTTGGGCCACAGGGTTCGAATCTAATGTCCATGCACGGGAAAACCACCCGGGCCGGACAATTGTTACCAAACGGCCTTTGGCGTTTGCTGAACAGCCGTGCCCTGTTCGATCCCTTCGTCGGGCGTGTTTGCTCCACGACTTCGCGTGTCGGGGTGATGATTGTTTGTAGGGGGTGGATTGTTTTTTTGACTCCTGCCGGTGCCGCACCGCGTGCAACGCCCGCAAGCCGCGCACCAAAGTAGGGGGCCACATGCGAGCCCTACCCCTACCCCCACGATTTCTGAGGGGGAGGGTGGGGTTCAATTCGTTCGGGAGCTCCCGAGCGAAGTGAACCCACCCTCCTCCTCAGAAATCGTGGGGGGTAGGGGTGGGGTTCGCATGTGGCCCCCTACCGTGGTTGCTCCCACGTGTGGCCGAGCAGCCCGGCAGGCCGCCCGCTGCAAGCGCGGCCACCGGCTGCAGCCCTGCGCGCCCGGCAGCGATGGCTGGGCGTGCGACGCCCGCCTGGAGCCCGGGGGCTGCGCCAGCGGCAGCGCCCGTCGCTGGCGCGCAGCCCCGCCGTGGATGGACCCCGCTCGGTTCGAAGCACCCGCGACTCGACCAGCCCACCGTGGCAGCCAGAAGCCTCCTATTACCCTCGTCAAAATTAACCTCAACAGTTGCTGGCCCGTCATTTCGATTTCGGCGCGCCCCTCAATGTCGACACGCCGCCCCTTCAATGTCGGGGCGAGGGCAAAGATAGTCTGACCGAAGCTGACTCGAAAGTTTGACGTCGACCGACATTGGAGGGGCGGCGCATGCAAGTACCCCGCACTCATCGATACTCGGCCCCAGATCTTCCGACAAGCAGTTCAACCACGTCAGACATTTTTGAGGTTAATTTTGACGAGGGTTGCAGTGTTCAGTCGGGCCTGTCCCTCTACAGGAGGGACGTTCAAACATAGTCAAAGAATAGTCGGGGGACGATCTTTGGACCATTTTTGAGCTGTGTTCGAATGCTTGATGCACTGCTTTTCGTTGTTCGTGCACAGAACCCCCTGTAGGGGGCATGCCCGACCTGATTCTAAGCACGCGCGACTCGACCAGCCCACCGTGGCAGCCAGAAGCCTCCCAGGGGGTGCTCGTGCAAGGACGTCGCGGCGGGGCTCCGGCACCTCGCGGGGCCCTCGCCCCCCCCCCCCCGGCCGGAGGCCCGCCTCGCGCAGCGCATCGAGACTCCTGCTCCTCCTCCTCCTCCTCCTCCTCCTCTTCCTCCTCCTCCTCCTCCTCCTCCTCCTCCCTCCGCGCCCTCTGCGCACCCAGGGAGTTCCGAGACGGTAGCTCTCGGAAGTTCTGGGACGCGATTCAAGGAGGGGGGGCAAAAACACACAGCCACAATGCATCGTCGGCTCCCGGGAGAATGTGGGAAGGAGGGGGGGAAGACGAACACCCAGGAAAGATGGGAAGATATGGGGAGTCCTGAGATTTGTGTCTGCTTGTTTGTGTGCTCTTGGGCCCCTTCAGTGTTGGGGAGTTCTCGGAAGTTTTCGAGGCCCAGGGCGGTTTCAATTCGCTGCGCCTCGTGGAGGGCGCTCTGGGGGTACCAGCGTCGTCCAGAACGGCTGCCAGAGAGCCGAGTTATTTACCAGCCTGGAACATATCCCTATCCCTATGCTGGGCACCTCCTCATCACGATGCCAATCTTAAGGATTTCCTTATGTTTTGAGGGCGAGTCCCTAAGATTATCATCGCCTTTTGGCGTGTCAATCTTAGGGATAGGGATACGTTCGAGGCTGGTAAATTATGACCTGGAAACCGAGCGTCCCTTGCCTGCACCGAGCGAGACCGGGTTCGAGAGCTTTTATTTTCGGTCCCCTGGCGATTACCAGCGAAGAAGAAGCTGCATACCGTGGAGGCCCATGCCAAGAAGCACCCTGCCTGCCTCCAGGGTGCCCTGGGTTTCTTGGGTTTCGATGGTTCTGCTGTGGAGGGCGTGACGTTCCCACACCAAGATTCAACGCACGTCCTGGGGTCTCTCGGGGTTTGGGGTTTCTTGTGGAAGGTCTCTTGTGGTCGAGCCCCTACCGTAAGCACTAGCTTTCGGAGCTCCGCGTGGATTTCTTGGACGGCGCCGGGCCTCTCCCTGCGCGGCGCCTCGGGCGACACCTCCGACCCCATCCACGGGGGCCCCATCCGGGAGGCCCCTTACGATGGTGGAGAGCTCATGGCGGGGCAGTCCTGCCGGTTGTCGGCATCTGGGGGCCCTCGCCGGGCCCCAGGAACGTCAACCAAACGGCTCGGGACGAAACTGAGATGATCGCGGCGGTTGCTAAGGGGATGGGGGGCTCAGGATTGGGAGCTCAGGTGGGATATGCCTGGTGTAACCTAGCTGATCGATGGGTTGCAAATGCCCCAAATGGTTTAGGGGGGGTCAGACAACTCCGCGAAGTGGCGGGGCCCGCTTAGCCTGGATCGTTCACCCCCCTAAGGCACTTGGGGCATAAGCCGGGCTAGTCCAGAGATTACCCACCTCGGAATCCGCTTCTGAGGCCCCGATCCCTTTAGCAACCCAAGCGATCATCTTTGAACAGAGGGAAACCGACCCCAGTCCACACAACAATGGATTTCACATGTCAACGTCTTGCAGGTATGGCGAATGTGCGTAAGCGTGGGCGCCCTGCAAGCGAGGCCACTGCCAGCTGCCGCAGGGGAGGGGGAGGGGGCCCGCGCGCGCGGTCTAGTTGGTCTACAGTTCCTCATGTGGGGGGCGGGGGGCGGTTTTCGGGGGTGGACAGAACCCCCACCCTGACAACACGTCGAGCAGTGAATTGTCCGTTTTCGCTTCTCGGGAGGGCGCCACGGCCGTCAGTTTCCAGGCTTGCGCCCGCCAAGTCTGGGCCCGAGGTCGTTTTCACTAAACCACGTTTTGCTAAAGGGGGTCCTGTCCATCCCCGAGGTGTTCATGCGTTCAATCTTAGAAGACGAGGAGGAGGAGGAAGTGGAGGAGGAGGAGGAGGAGGAGGGAAGAGGAGGAGGAGGAGGCGGAGGATGAGGAGGAGGAAGAGGAGGAGGAGGAGGGAGGAGGAGGAAGAGGAGGAGGAGGAGGAAGAGGAGGTGGAGGGGGGGGAGGAGGAGGCGGAGGAGGAGGAGGAGGAGGAAGCGGAGGAGGAGGAGGAGGAGGAATATTAATAATGATAATGATACTAATACTACTATTACTACGGCTAGTAAGACTAATATTAAGACGAATAATAAGCATAATAAGACTAAGCATGCTACTATTAATAATCACTAAGACGAAACATAATATTACTAGGACGAATCAGAGTAGCATAATAATAATGATAACAATAAGACTATCACTAAGAATAAACGTACTAGTACGAATAATAACAATAGTACGAATAGTAATAATAAGAACAATACTACGAAAAACCATAATACTTGTAATACTAAGAATACGAATAATAGTACTCACAGTATTATTAATAATACTACTACTAATACTAATACTAACACTAATACTAACACTAATACTAATACTAATACTAATACTCATACTCATACTAATACTAATACTAATACTACTACTACTACTACTAATACTAATACTAATACTAATACTACTACTAATACTAATACTAATACTAATACTAATACTACTACTACTACTACTAATACTAATACTATTACTGATACTAATATTAATACTAATATTACTGCTATACTAATACTAATACTAGTACTAATACTAATACTAATACTAATACTAACACTAATACTAATACTACTACTACTACTACTACTACTAATACTAATACTAATACTAATGCTAATACTAATACTAATACTAATAATACTACTAATACGAATACTAACACTAATACTAATACTGATGATTTCAATAATACTATTCTTTCTACTACTACTACTAATAATAATAATGATAATAATGCTAGTAATACTATCAATAGTAACACGACTAATACTACTAATACTCATAATAATACAAATAAGACAAATAATGCAAATACTAATAATACTACGAATAATAATGCCAATGCTACGAATAATCGAAGGAGGAGGAGGCGGAGGAGGCGGAGGAGGAGGAGGAGGCGGAAGCGGAGGAGGAGGAGGAGGAGGAGGAGGAGGAGGAGGAGGAGGAGGAGGAGGAGGAGGAGGAGGGGGGGGGAGGGGGAGGAGGAGGGAGGAGGAGGAGGAGGAGGAGGAGGAGGAGGAGGAGGAGGAGGAGGAGGAGGAGGAGGAGGGGGCGGAGGAGGAGGAGGAGGAGGAGGAGGAGGAGGAGGAGGAGGAGGCGGAGGAGGAGGAGGAGGAGGAGGAGGAGGAGGAGGAGGAGGAGGAGGAGGAGGAGGAGGAGGAGGAGGAGGAGGAGGGGGGGGGGAGGAGGAGGAGGAGGGAGGGGGCCGTCCAGACCCCCGGCGGAGCCGCGCCGTCGGCCCGCATCATGACGGTGCGCGCTGGACGTCGGGGGCCGCGGTGCCCCGCGCGGAGCAGCGCGCGCGAGGCCGCACTGCACACCCGGCGGCGCGCGCGGTCGGCAAGGGCCACCCCGCGCCGGAATTCCTCCTTAGCTCATCGATGCCGAAGAGCTCTACGAGGTATTCCTCTAGCTCATCGATGTCGAAGAGCTCTACGAGGTACTAGCTCCGCCCCGCGCGGGAATTCCTCTAGCTGTCCCCGTGGAAGCGGCCGAGATTCCGTGGGGCCCGTGTCGCGAGAGGCGAGGGCCCTCGAGAGCGCCTTCGCGGTCGGCAGCCCCTCGGGGCCGCCCGCTGTGGCGTCGTCCCGGAGCAGGGCCCGACGAGTCCGCAGTCGCCGCGGCCGCTCAACGGGCTCGGTGGTGCCTCGGAGCTCGCCCCGGGGCCCCCGTCGCTCCAGCGTTGCTCGAGCTGTGGCGGGGGATGCACATCGGCAGAGGGCGCGTTGCGCACAACTTCAATTTCGCACGAGGCGATACGAATGGGGGCGTGGGGTGGCCTGGCGACCGCGAGTGGCCTTTACTCACTGTGGGCTGGGGGGCTGGCCCAGATGTACACGGTGCACGGCGTAAGCAGGTCCTTCCCAGCAGTGGTGCACCGACGCACCTTGCGGTGCTGGCAACCGAGGCGTTGTCAGCTGGCTGTCGAGTCCGTAGCTCAGTCCCCGCCCTCACCTCGGGTCCAAGAGAGCGAACATTGCTGCTTTCTGTTGTTGGTTTACCCTGTCTCGATTGGGTCCAACCTCTGGGGTTTGGGGTCGGCCGTGGTTGCTCAGACGCAGTGGTGCGTATTTTCAGGAGTGGCATCACCAACAGTAAAAGCACTGGCGGCAGCGATATTGGCAGTGCTCGCATTGGAGTGATAGCGGCAATATTGGTGATTGGGCTTCACTTAAGCAGCGATGACACCGATAGGAGGAACACAGAAGAACGTTTATCAAACCAAACCCAAACTACATGACCGTTCCTCCCAGCTTTTTGCGGTGACTCCATACCAAGAGTACTATCTAGCTTTGGCCTGGAATCGTCGCAATTGTCCAGTTGCTCCATGCAGCCCCATCGCCATCGTGCCAGCGCAGCATCAAGCATGCGTGCAGAACGGCTCTCTGCTCAGCCAGTGATATCCCCAGCAGGCTCTGTACACTCGCCATTCTGCCGCGCCCGGGGAGCATCGCTGCGGTGCGGCAGCGCGGCATGGCCGTGCTGTTGCTCGGTCCCAGCGTTGCCTGCTGGGGACATCTTGGCGGCTCGTTTGGGGCTCCTCGGGGGCCCCCCTCGCCTGGGGCCTGCCGGGCCCAGCGTCGGTGTGCAGGGCGTACGTGGGGGCGAGCTCCCGCACGTCCTCCGCCAGGGAGGCGCCACCGGAACTGACCGAGAGCCTGCTCCGACGCGCCCCGGCGTGCCGCCTTGTTGTCCCGTGGCGAGCGAGGAGAGGCTATGCTCGGCGGAGCAGGGGGCCGAGTGCGAACGCGCGCGGCACGGCTCGATGAGCAATGCTCAGGAGGGAAAGAAACACACAGACACAATTAATCGCCGATTCCTAGGAAAATATAGGAAAATATGGGAAGTGGTGGGGAAGACAGAAACCCAGAAAATATGGGAAAATATGGGGAACATGTTTATTTGTGTATATTTATTTGTGTGTCCCAGGGCCTCTTCAAATGCGTGCTTCCAGGCCCGGTGCCGAGGTCGCTATAGCTTCCCTGCCTCGCCCACCCCCCGCCGCGCCATGGGCGCCCCGCCGGCGCGGGCGGGGGGCGGCTCACCGGCTACTGGCAGACCGAGGGGCACACGCTGCGCTTCGAGTGCAGGACCCCCCCCGGCCACGGCCCGCCTCCTCTGGCGCGCACGGCGGTGGCCGGCGCGGAGGGCGGTGGCCCAGCGGCGTCCATCTTCACCCGGTCTGGTCGATGCGGTGCTGATCCTGTAGTGATGAGCCTGTTTTCCGCCACCACCACCATAAGTTGGAGGGGAGAAGGAGGAGGAGGAGGAGGAGGAGGAGGACGACGAAGAGGAGGAGGAAGAGGAGGAGGAGGAGGAGGAGGAAGAGGAGGAGGAGGAGGAGGAGGAGGAGGAGGAGGAGGACCCCCCCTCCAACTTATGGTGGTGGTGGTGGTGGAAAACACGCCCATCATGTAGGGGGCCACATGCGAACCCTACCCCTACCCCCCACGATTTCTGAGGGGGAGGGTGGGGTTCACCTCGCTCGGGAGCTCCCGCGCGAAGTGAACCCCACCCTCCCCCTCAGAAATCGTGGGGGGTATATAGGGGGAGGGCTCGCATGTGGCCCCCTATCCTGGCCGCCAGCTGGCCCGCTCCGATCTGCGATCTCGCTGCTCCAGCGATGCCAGGCGTCCCGATGCCTGCGCTGGCGCTGCCGTGCAGCCTGGCGCGGCAGGTCCCGTTTGACCTCGACTCCGTTGCGGTGCAGCCCGATCCGACGCTCGTTCCTCTTCGATCCGACATCCCGATTTGACTGGTTCCTCAGGTGGAGGATTGTGCGCATGCACCAATCCTGGCCAGGCTCATCCTGAGCCCAGGATTCGGGGGCGGCAGAGAGGGGGGTGATGACTAGGGGGGGGGTGGAGATCATGGCGCGGGCCATGATTTTTCCACAGATTTCATGGCGCCTCTTCTTATTTCAGTACGTCCCTGGCCCCCCCCCTTGGGCCGCGCACATGCCGTCGGCCATGATTTGCACCCCCCCCTCTTGGACACCCTCCTCTTGGCCGCCCCCGAAGGATGGGCGAGGTCAGAATCGGGACGTGCGCATCCTGTCGCCATCCTGTAGTTTTCTGCCACGGGGCAGCCGAGCAGGAGCTGCCGCTGCTTCCCCGAACCAGGCCTCCGTCCTCGGGAGCCTACACCCTAGGCGATGCTTAAGAAAACGTAAGGTTTCGGCCAGAGTCTACATTATTCTTATTGTTTCAATGGAAAACCTAACATTTTAGTAGAAATTGTTTTTTTTTAATTTAATTTCTGAGACTATGAATTTCTTAACCCATGATTTCTTAAGCATTTCGCAGGGTGTAGTCAATGGTCAAGGGGTTTGGACGAGGATGGAGGCTCAAGGATACGCGCCAAGCTCTCCGTCGCCACGGCTGGCCTCCCCTCGCGATGCGGGACCCAGACCTCGAACGGCTTGCCCTTGCCTCCAACGGCCTGCCCCTTCCTCCGCCGTTGCGTTTTGCCCGCGGCACGGGCCCTCGCGGGTCTCGACCCCTTCTCCGGGGCCGGGTCTCGTCCCGAATCGTCTTCGACGGCGCCTGTGCCGCACGAGACGGCCTCCATAAAACGACGCGAAGATCGGGACAAAATCGGATCGGGATAACTCGAAATCTCTGAGAATCGGCGGGTTTGGAGGATGTACTGGGCGCCGCGGCCGCTCCAGAGCGTTCCGGAACGCTCTGAGAGCGCTCCGGAACGCTCTGGAGCGATTTATCCCGATCCTAGCCCTGTTTTACTCCAGAGGCCGCAGGCGTCCGAAGCCGCCGCGGTTTTCGGGCGCCGCCTGGAGCCGAGGGAAGAGTGTCGTGTCCGTCTCCGGGGCCGATTCCGGGCCCCGTGAACAACAGCTCAGGATGAACTGTGCTCCATGGGAGGGAGTCCACCGGGACCTCTGGCGGCCACAGACTGAATAAGCAACGTCTCATGTCGCCGAGCCCGTATCAGCCGAAAAGGTATGTTACCAAAAATACAGAGACCGAAAATGTGCCGGACATTGTGACAGAAGACGTAGTGTGACCGAAATTGTGACCGAAACGGAGATTCGATTTCGTTTCGCACCAAGAACTTCGGTCGCACTTCGGCGCGTTCGGAAAACCAGTCGGGCGCCAGTCTCGCTCGGTCACACTCGGGACGATGTTCGGGCACAGTTTCGGTCGCTACACCCCCTTGACAGAGACGGAGCTGCGTGAAACGTCGACGGAGGTCAGAGGAGCTGGCGGGGGGGAGGGGAGAAGCGCCTTTCGCTGGCGGCCGGGGCCCGTGCCGGACAGCGCCAGCGGCTTGCCAGGCCAGCTCGGTGCATGCCTGCGCGCGTGCTGGCTCGCGCAGCAGCGTGCACCGGTATGGTCTGGTACACGGCTGGCATCGTCCAACCGTGGCCCACCAGCGGCTCCCAGCAATGGCGCCGTTGGCCTCTTCTTCTTCTTCTTCTTCTTCCTCTTCTTCTTCCTCTTCCTCGTCTTCTTCTTCTTCTTCTTCTTCCTCTTCTTCTTCCTCTTCTTCTTCCTCTTCTTCTTCTTCTTCTTCTTCTTCCTCTTCCACTTCCTCTTCCTCTTCCTCTTCCTCTTCTTCTTCTTCTTCTTCCTCTTCTTCTTCTTCTTCTGCTTCTTCTTCTTCTTCTTCTTCTTCTTCTTCTTCTTCTTCTTCCTCCTCCTCCTCCTCCTCCTCCTCCCCCTCCTTCTTGTTTCTCTCCTTTTCCTTCCTCCTCCTCCCCTCCTCCCGCCTCCCTCCTCCTACATCTTCTCTTCTCTTCCTCCTCCTCCTCCATCCTCCCTGCCTCTCTCCCTCCCTCCCTCATCCCCTCCTCCACATCCCCTTCCTCCTCCCTTCTCTCCCTCCAGGTAGCATTGGGGTATCCGACGCCTTCCGCGGGTTTGCCGCAGGCATCCTTCAATTTTCATGCCTTCTTGGGTCTGTCCTCGAGAGCAGTCCCGCAGGGGTAGCGGTCGCAGGTGGTCAATTCCGCTGCTCTTTGGTGTTTTGGACCGCCGAAGCCGCAGGATGCTGGGCCACCCACCCCTCTGACATTAAGCCTGCTCGGATTGTTCCCTCTGCCTCCCGCACTCCCTCGTCCTCCCTCCGCCCCCTCCTCCGCCCTCCTGCGCGCCACATCCTCGGACACTTACCCAAGGTCCGGCCACATGAATGGCGCACGTGCCATTCCGCCACCCGAATCCCTTTCGGGAAGCCTCCACGCCGCGCAACTTCACCCGTGCTGCATAACACACAGTACAACGGAGACACTAGCCAGCATCGTGCTGGGCTCTTCGTCAGAATGGGCTCCCATGTGAGATATCCAGCACATGAGCCAAGTGGTTTTGGCCAGCAGAGACCCCCGCTGAGGTCATGGTGGCAGATCGGTGTACCGTCCTCCCCAGGATGCGCCTTCCTGCGGTTTGCAACAGTCGACTTCTGCCGTGAACCATCGCGGCCGTGCAAGATCTGCTCTCCCATGCTTCGCGAGCGCGAGTTCGTGCTCCTCTTACTGCCCACCCGCTCGGTCACTCTGCTCTCGCGATTCTCTAAGACGGGTCTCGTATTACAGCAATGTGCTCGTCCATCTCGGCTTGTTGGCCCCAACATTCCGACCCTGTCGTTCTGTTCTTCACGACAGTGCCCTCCCGCTTCTACGCTGCCTTGAACTATCATGTGGGACCTGCTCTAGAACAGGAGCATACCGCAGACGGACCTACCCTTTCTCCGACGTAGTTTTGTGCCGAACTCAGCGGCCGCGCTTTCTACAGACGCATCCACCCCGTGTGTCTGCACGTGTGATTCCATCCACGATGTGTCTTGTCTATAGGCGACTGTGGCTAACGGTATTTGGCATAGGCTTCAGGTATGGTTTTCTAGACGCAGATAGGCTTTGTCCTCCAGCCGATGCCGCCCTGGGGAAGCCAGACCTCCAGGGGACCGACTCGGCCGGGAGTTGACTCCTGGCAGACTCGGGGGGCGACATCTTGCGGTTCGCCCGCTCTCGCTTCCCTCTCCTTCGCTCTCCCTCTTGCCTTCCTGGGCGCTCTCTCGCCTTCTCGCCTCTTCCCCCCCTCTCGCATGCGGCACGTTTGTTCACCTTCTCGCTCTCTCCTCCTCGCTTCTTCCTCTCCTCTCGCGTGCGGCACGTTTGTTCATCTTTCGGGCCACGGCTCCGTGCATGAGCTCGCCTGTCGGGGGTGGGCTCGCGTGGAGTTCCCGCTTTGCCTGGCGACCCCTCGATCCGCACCGCGGCCGAGGCCGCGCTTGGTGAGGCTCAGTGTTCGCGCTCCCTCCTCTTCAAAAGGAAAACACGTGTGCCGAGGCCGTGTTGAGTGAAGCTCAATGTTCGCGCTCCCTCCTCTTCAAAAGGAAAACACGTGCGACACGTTCTGTCTCGGCGGATTTGACTTCCGAGGGCGCGTCGGGCGTGCCAGCTTTCGGGCCCCTGGGCAGGCTATGAGCCGAGGATCTGCGACCACGACCTGCAGGAGGTGTCCAGAGGGCGGCAAACTGTACTCTTGGGTCAGGATCTTCGACAGGCCAGATCCTTTTCTCAGGATCAGTGTGTACCTTTTTTGTTTTGTATGTATGTATATATATATATATGTCTAGAGATGTGTGCCTTCCTGGCCAAGCCGAGTCCGAGCACCGCCAGAGACCCCAAACCGCCCTACACAGTCGCCAGCTCGTGAAGAGGTCTGAGAAGTCAGTGCTGAGATCTGGCTGCCGGTGACAGACTGGACACTCGCACAAAACATTCGTGCGGTGTGCTGCCTAGGACAGCATATGTCCCACGGGTGGGCCCCGGCAGTGCGCGCAAGAGCACGCCACCTGGCTGGACACCGATCCCGAGTCCAGGAGGGGCGCAAGGCCAGGACCGGTGGGGTGCCCAGTTGACGTCCCCCCGAAGCCGAGGATCTGCGACTACGACCTTTGCAGGGGGTGCTTCGAGCGCGTGGCGGAGCTGGAGCAGCCGCGTGACGACGGAGGGGCGGGGTGCTGCGCGGGCGCAGCGGGGGACACTGGCGTGAGGTCGGCGCCGCGATTTCGTTGCTTGTTCCTCGCTCCCCCCTCCCCCTTCCTCGTCGTCGTCCTCCTGCTCATTTTCCTCCTCCCCCTCCTCCTCCTCCTCCTTCCCTCTCCTCTTCCTCCTACTTCTCCTCCCCCCTCTTCGCGTCATCCCCTTCTTTCTTTCTCTCCCTGCCTCCCTCCTCCCTCCTCCTCCTTCTCCTCCACCTCCTATTCTCTTCACATCCTCTTCCTATTCCCCCCCTCGTCCTCGTTCTCCCCCGCTGTCTCCTGCTGCTGCTGCTGCTCCCGCTGTTCCTCCTCCTCCTCCACCTCCTGACCACTGATGACCCTGAAGCTTACAAGTTGGCAACAGTTTCAAAAAGGAGGGCGGGTGGTTTTCAACATGTGGCTCTCGCGTAAGCGCCGCGCAAATCCGTTCTAAAAACTGCAAGTGTTTCACGGATTGAGGGTGGGTCGCTTTCAAAATATGGTTTCTGCTCTAGCACCGCGCACATTCGTTGTCACATGTTTTGCAACCGTTTCACGCATTGAGGGTGGGCCGTTCTCAAAATGTGACTCTCGCCCTAGCACCGCGCACATTCGATTTAAACATGGTAAGGGTTTGACACATTGAGGGTGGGCCGTTCTCAAAATGTGACTCTCGCCTTAGCCCCGCGCACATTCCTTCTACGAAATTGCAAGAGATTGAAGGCGGTTTATTTTCAACATGTGATTCTCGCCTTAGCGCTGGGCATACTCGTCTTCACAATTTGCAGAGGTTTCAAGGATTCCCGTGGTCAGCGTACCAGAAATGGTGTTTTGGAAGGTTTTAGGGTTGTGAGGGCGCAGCAACAGTTACGTTGGTTCGCGGTGTTGAAGCCTCAGGAGTGGTGTTCTAGCGCGGTTCAAGGTAGTCAAGACGTAATAGTCAAGTTGATTCGTGGCATTGGAGTCCCGAGAGCGGTGTTCTGGCACGCTTCGGGGTCTTCTAATGGTTGACTCCCGACACGGCAGTTCCCGCAACGGAAGAGAACCCCCGTAGGGGCCTGCGAAGAGGGACTTCGGAGGGAGGCTCTACTCAAACATCGCTGACGAGTCTTGGGCTTGCATTCATCCTCCTCTCCCTCCTCCTCCTCCTCCTCCTCCTTCCCCTCCTCCTCCTCCTTCCCCTCCCCCTCCCCCTCCTTCTGCCCCTCCTCCCACACCCTGCGGAAATCCGCCCTCCCGGCGCGCCCCCCCCGCCGCGCGCTCCTCTGCGCCCCGCCCCCGGCCTGCGCCCGCCGTGAGCCTCGCGAGCGTGGCCTCTCCCGAGGCGCGCCGAGGGGCGGGGCGCGGCCGCCGTGAGGCAAAGTGACGCTGCGCGGGGGTCCGCCGTCGGGCCCGTGCTGCTGCAGGGGGCATAGGCAGAAGTGGTCAAATAAACAGTCCAGTGACGATGCTTTGACCATGTTTTTGAAGATTTTTGGTACATTTCTTTATGTATATCTATCTATCTATCTATCTATCTATCTATCTATCTATCTATCTATCTATCTATCTATATATCTATCTATCTATCTATCTATCTATCTATCTATCTATCTATCTATCTATATATGCGTATGTGTGTATACATACACTAAGATATATAAAACATATGTTTCGCCCAAAATCCCACTGTAGGGGGACAGGCCCGACCTGATGTGAGCTTCAGCTTCCGCAGGTTTGGGCGCGCATCTCTTGGCCCGGGCCCCTCCAACCATGACGCCGCAAACCAGGACTCTTTGAGTATTCCAGCTGGAGAGAAATTAATCTAGGCCTCCCAGATGGGGTCAGAGCAGATGGGGTCGGAGGATCGCGTCGCATCGCCGATGCATCGCCGATGCGGCTCGATGTGGAGCCCGATTTGCTTCACGGTCGACGTCGCCGACGCATCGTCCACGTCGACGATACATCGCCGGTGTATCGCCGATGCATGGCCGATGCATCGCAGACGCATCGCCCAGGCATCGGCGATATGTCGGCGATGCGGCGCGACGGTAAAAGGAAACAATTCGTGGACACTCCCCCGCCTCCCCAAACTCAAAGTTGGCACGCGCGGGGAAGACTGCGGTCGAAGTGCAGCTCATTCAACCCACCGCCAACATTGATCATTGGGGGGTGGCATTGTTGACAGATGAATGCGGCATGAGTGTTCGCTAATTTCTTCCGAGGCCTGGATCCTCCGACCCCATCTGCTCCGACCCCATTTGGGCCGGCTGGGGGACTATGAGGTGGCCTGGCCCTGGCTTCGTCGAGCAGGGAGGTGCGCGGCCAGGGTCGACGCTCTCTCGGTTCGGGAAGGCTTTTTGTTATTGTTCTTCCGGGGGCCGTTTCCGGGCCCTGGGAGGTAAGCTGCCCGCGTAAGGTCGCGCGCATGTGCCTTGGCTTCGAATGCGGCGTGCCACGCTGGCGGCACGCGCAAGTCACCGCGTAAGGTCTCTGTGTCATCTCGCGTAAGATCCGTGTTGGACCGTCGCTCAATTTCAGCCACGTCACGTGCGGAGGGGGGTAGGGGGAGGGGGGAATGCTTCCTAGAAGCACGCCCTGCTTCCTAGGCGGCGCGGGCCTCCTCTACAGTTGTGAGACTGGCGCCTCCTGAGGAGCAGCCTCCTTCTAAGGCGCCTTCCCCCCTCCCCCTGCCCCCCTCTGTGCGCCGCCAACAATTGCCGAGCATTTGCTTTGGGTGGAGAGCAGAGATTGAAATCCGAGATGCCGTTTCGATTGATTTTCGAGGTTTGAACCTGCACAAGGTGAACCACAAGACGGATTGGTTTTCGAGGTGCGAATTCCCATATGGATTTCACCCCTCACCACCCACTAAACCACCCCAACCCAACCCGAAGGCCTCAATTTGCCCTCCTTCTCCAGTGTGGGGGCGTCGGGGAACGCTGACAAAAACGCATCTGGAACCCGTATCCCCCCTAAGTCGAAATTGGGGTCTTCGGGTTGGGTTGGGGTGGTCTGGTAAGTACTCCAGATTTCGTAATAAAAGGGAGGGGGTCTGGACCCTCCAAGACAAGCCATTTCAGACCTCCCCCGTGGGAGAACCCTCCAAAACATCGTCCCCAGACCCCCCCAGGCCCTCCAAGATAGTCTGGAAGAGACCCCCCCCCCGAAATGAGACCCCCTCCCTTGATTACAAAATCTGGAGTAGTCACCCCGTGCCCTCCACCCAAAGAACATGTTCATTGCCAGCCAGGACTCGGAGCACTCCGGCCGGAGGGAGATCAGGAGGGAAAGAAACTCACAGACACAATTAATCGTTGATTCCCCAGAAAATATGGGAAAATATGGGAAGCGGGGGGGAAGACAGAAACCCAGGAAATATATGAAAATATGGGGAATCTTTTTATTTGTGTGTATTTATTTGTGTGTCCTGGGGCCCCTTCAGGAGAGCGAAGAGCGCAGGGGGTGCTGCGCCCGCCCTCGGCTGCAGCCGCTTCTCGGGTGCGCCGCAGGGTCTCGGGCTGTTCCCGGCGCTCCCGTCGGGGGCCCCGACGCGTCACGGCGCCACCACTGCAGAGCGGACCTCGTTCTGGAGAGAGTGGGATTCGGGCCGGGCGAAAGGGGGGGATTGGGAAAGGGGGGGTTACGACGTTTGCTGCATGCAGCTGGTTTCGGCCTCACCGAGGGGCCCATTTCTCGATACATAGCCGCCTCTGGCGCCGGGAGGCGCCGGGAAAATCAGCTACGTGAGCTGATTCTCACTCCCCCCTTTGCTATCCCCCCCTTTCGCCCGACCCGATTCTGGAGAGAGTGGGATGGGCCAGGGGTTGTCCCGGAGAGTGTCGCTCCAGATCTCGAAGCGAGTCTCGCACGGATGTTTGTCTTGGCCAGGAGCGAGGACCGCAAGACAACTCCACGGGACATTCGCTGCGCTTTTCGCTCGCCGCCTGCGGGATTTTGCAACATCCGCTGGCAGGGTCGGCGCTGCGCCTCCCCGCCCCCGGGGCGGCGCCTCTGGCGGCACCCCCTCCCAGAGATCCGGCGCTCCGAACAGGAGCTGGCGCGGCGGGCTTCTATAGGCTGCTTCCAGCGTGCCGGGGCCCTCGCCGAGCTTCGGGATCGCCCCGAGCGGTTCCGGACGAGCAGGCCGGCCTACGGAGGGAGGTGGTGCCGACCCCAGGACCGGGCGTCTGGGCGTCTGGGCCCAGCGCGCCCTCCCCCACGCGCGCTCCGCGTGCTCCGGGAGCTCTGGACCTCCCCTTCCCCAGCGCGCGCGGCGCGCCTCTGGCGCCGACCTCGGGTGCGGGGAGGGGGCTCAGCGCCGACCCAGGAAGTCCGCGCGGACTTGAGGCAGTCAACGTTTGTGCAGTTCTTCGACGAGCTTCGCTTTCAGTTCTTCCAGTTCTCACCAGAAGAAGCGAGAACGGCCCAGACACGGGATGCAAATATCCCAACAACCGAGAATCCCCTTTCCGCAGGTTTGTGTGTGAGTGTGAGTGTGAGTGTGTGTTTGTGTGTGTGTGCGTGTGTGTGTGTGTGAGTGTGTGTGTGAGAGAGAGAGTGTGTGTATGTGTATGTGTGTGTGTGTGTGTGTGTGTGTGTGCGTGCGTGCGTGCGTGCGTGCGTGCGTGCGTGCGTGCGTGCGTGCGTGCGTGCGTGTGTGTGTGTGTGTGTGTGTGTGTGTGTGTGCGTGCGTGCGTGCGTGCGTGTGTGTGTTTGTGTGTGTGTGTGTGTGTGTGTGTGTATCTGTGTGCGCGTGTATGTGTGCGCGTGTATGTTTGTGTGTGTGTGTGTGTGCCCTACGTCTGCTTTGTCCGCCAGCGCAGTCACTGCCTAGCCGCCGACGCAAAAAGTTTGCGTGTGGGGGCGACGACGACGGCGACGGCGGTGGCGGCGACGACGACGACGACGACGCTGACGCTCTGGAGCCCTTCTTGGGGCTCTCTTGGGAGCCTCTTGAGCTCTCTATCGGGGTCGGGGCCGGGGCCGGGTGGGGCTGTGGCTGGGGCCGGGGTCGGGGCCGAGGCATGGGCCAGAGCCGCGTCCGGAGCTGGGGCCGCAGCCAGGGCCGAGGCGGGGGGGGGGTTGAGCTTCCGTGATGACAGGGAGACCACCCCCAGGTCCCCCCAGGGGGGAGGTCACGATCCCCAGGACCCCACCCCGGGACCCCTCCCGGGACCATCCTTGGCCCCCCTCTGGGACGCCCCCCCCGCCCAGGACCTCCCAGGACCCTCCGGGAATCCCCCCATGTAATCAAACAGCAAACTGCCCCGGAAATCTAGGCCCTGGTCCCCTGACACAGTTCGGTCCCGATCTGAATTCCTTTTTAAAACAAGAACCCCCTGCCTGGCCGGGCCCTGGTTCCCTGAAGCAATCATGGTTCCCTTGAAATTACCCCCCGCGGAAATCTTGGCCCCGGTCCCCTGACACAATTCTGCCCCGATCTGGGGTCCTCCTTAAACAAAACACCACTCCACCCGGAAATCTTGACCCTGGTTCATTGACACACTTCTGTCCCGATCTGGTGTTCCCTTAGACACCCCCCTCCCCCCTGCCCGGCCTGGCCCTGGCCCCCTGGTCTGTCCGCTGATGAAGCCTAAGAAGCATGAAGAAGGCAGAAGGTGTCGGTATTGCTGCCTCGAATACGATTCGGGTTACGCGCATGTGGAGGTCCGTCTCGGGCCAGGATTTCTCGAACGTCTCCCAGGCGAGCATTAGAGCGGGGCAAATGTAGAACCACGTGGGTTTCTTACGCCCAAGAGCGGGACAAGCCGCCTGCGGTTCCGAGTGCAGACCCGACGTGACCGAAGGCCTCAGAGGACGCGGTTTTCCGAACGAATCGCCAGCCGAGTGAACCAGCGATGTCGTTACGATGCCGTGCCGAGTCACCATTGTTACCCAAACGGCTTTTCAATATGGTGCTTTCCATTATCATTTTGGCTGCTGCCGATTAGGCCCAAGGCTGGTCGGGGTGCTCTCCACGGGCGCGCCATCGTGTGACGCATGGGGACTCTGCGTCGAGTCATTGTGTATGTGTGTCCGTTTTTATGATCATAGTTGTTTTGAAGGCTCACTGCACGTGCATACTTATTGGGTTTGATGTTAATATCCTAGGTCCAGCATGCTGGAGCCGAACGAGTCGAGCAATTGCTTGCGCAACGATGTGCAGGTAATGATGCAAGCAGTTCTTCATGGGATTCGATGAGTGCCACGGCTCGTACACGTAGCATGCTGTCGTGATGTTCATAGAAGCGCGGGTTCGCAGAAACGAGTCTCTGTTTATTTTGGCCAGTACATGTGTGGGTCGCAGGTTGGACGTTCCCATCCCGAATCTGCCAGCAGAGTCCTTCTGGTGGTTCCTGCCGTCTGATCGTTGCCCGTTGTTGCTGCCCTTGTCGTTCGACATCGTGTGCTTGCCCGCCTTCTCTTACATCAACTCGGCGAACCCAGATCTTTGCTTTCTTCGCCATCTGCGCCCTCTTTGGACTCGGCCTCCTCCGAGTTCTCCGCCTTCTCCGCCTCCGTTGCCTCGAGCTCTCCCGACTTCTCAGGGTTCTCGGGCTCTTTCGGTATCTTTGGCCTCTCCGGCTTCCTTAGGCTCTCTGGCTTCTCCACCATCTTCGCCTTTTCCGGCTTCTCCGCCTTCTTTGCCTCTACCTGGCTCAAGCCATTCGGGCTTAAGGATCGCCAGGTGAGCGCTCCGTGTTCCCGCATCGGTAATGCACTCCTTCCAACGATGGTACACATTTTGATCTTCGTCACGGCATCTGCGCTCGCTTCGGTTGTAGGCGCCGAAATGCAGCTCATGCAGATGTCTGCGTTCGGGCTGAACGGTTCAGAGGTGGCAAGTCGAGTGATGCAATATTCACGGCATGTAGTATTCTTACGACGCCTGATTGGTTCTCAGTTTTGTCTGGCTGCGCAGGTGCAAATTGTTGTCGCTTCGCGAATCCCCACCAGCCCATCCAGAAACGATGCCCAGAGGAATTGCCTCGATCAGAGAAGTGGGCAGCACACAGAGGAAGCCATTATGAGACATCTTGGGATATCTTGAGCCATCTTGGAGGTCATTTTGGGCTCTCCCAGACGCTCTTGGAGTCATCTTAATCCGTGCCCCCCCCCAAGAGGCCTCCATGTGGCTAAAACCTGTGTAGAATCAATGATTAGGCATTCTCGCCGAGGCCTCTTGGAGCATCTTGGGTGCATCTGGGGGGGCTCTTGGGGCCTCTTGGGGGTCTCTTGGGGGCCTCCGGGGGGCCTCTTGGGGGCCTCTTGGGGCCATTTTGGGGCCATCTTGGGACCTCTTGGGGCTTCCTGGGCGCTTCTTGGGGCCATCTTGGAGGAGATCGATCAAACAAGAGGGGGGGTTTAATTAGCGTCCCCCCTCGGAAGCCCCTAAAATCGCCTCTTGGACCCCTCTTGGAACGCTCTTGGAGTGCTCTTGGGCGCTCTTGGGGCCGTCTTGGGGCTCTTTTGGGGCTCTCTTGGGGCCCTCTTGGGCCATCTTGGAGCCATCTCCAGGCCTCGGATGGCCATCGGAAGCGAAAAGGCGAGAAAGCAAAAATCATTGATTTTCCTTAGGTTTTGGGACGATTTTGGCCTCTTCGGGGCCTCCTTGGGGAGCTGTTTGGCCACTTGGAGTTATCTTGGGGCCGTCTTTGGGCTTCTTGGAACCATCTTAGGAGCCATCTCGAGCGATCTTGCGCTATCTTGAGCCATCTTGGAGCTCATCTTGGGTTCTCTGAGGCGCTCTTGGAGCCGTCTTGGGCCATCTGGGACGCTCTAACTACCCGCGGCCCCCCCCGTCCAGGTCCAGGGGAGGGGGTAGGGGGAGGGGTAAACCCCTCCCCAAGGGGGAAGAGGGAGGGGTGGAAGAGGATCTGCTCTAGACCACCTACGCCCAGAGGGCTGGTGGGATTTCAAAACATTGCGCACCAGTAGTTGCAGGTCCACCGTATGGAAAGCGACCCTTCCTGCCTGCGTCGATGGTTCTACGGGAGCCTTCATAGTCAGCTTATTGGCCGATGAAGCAGGAAACATACAGAAAGCCGACAGAATGGACATCCTGGTGGATGGCAGCATCGTCGCGACAGTTTTCAATAACGTACCGCAAGAGGTATCAGTGCCTTGGAACCCATCAAATACGGAACTACGCGTCGAGTCCACCAGCTACACTTCTCAGTACGACCTCCACATGCAAATAATCCAGATCGTATTCGAGGCAGCAACACCGGCACCTTCTCTGCCTTCTTCCAGCTTCTTCGGCTTCTCTTGCTTCTTTGGATTCTCCGCCTTTTCCGCTGATTTCCGCCTTCTCCGCCTGCTCCGCTTTTTCCTCCTACTCCGCCCTCTCCACCTTCTCCGCCTTGTCGGGCTTCTCCAGCTTCTCGGGACTCATCGGGCGTCTGGGGGATCCCCGGCTCTCAGGGTTCTCGGGCTTTGCGGCTTTTCGCGTCGGGTTGGCCAGTCGGGTCGGGCGGGCGGGCCCTGACGGGCGTATCTGGTCAGGTGTCAGTCCTGTGTGCGGAGCGTTTGTCGCAGAATCCACGAGCCCGCTCGAGGATGGCGCGCCCTGCGCGTCGAATATCTGAGGACGTCTCGAGCAAAACGCTCGTTTTGCAGAACTCGAGTGGCCTCGGCGCCCCAGGATGCCCAGGTGGTTCTGGGAGCGCGGACACAACGTAATTTATCAGGGAACGTGGTCCTGGGAGCGCGGACACAGCGTAATTCACGAGGGGGTGCGGCCCTGGGAGCGCGGACGCAGCATAGTTTGTGAGGGATCGTTGCCCAGGGAAAGCAGACGCAGCGTAATTTACAGGGGCTCGTGCCCCTGGGAGCGCGGACCCAGCGTAATTTACGATGGGTCGTGGCTTTGGGAGCGCGGGCGCAGCGTAATGTATAAGGGATCCTGGCCTTGGGGGAGCGGACACAGCGTATTTTACTAGGGATCCTGCCCTTGGCGATGCGCGCACCCTGTCAGCGCAGCAGTTGGCTGTCGCAGCTGGCCTGGCAAGCCACATCAGGGAGGTTTACCTCCGCAAGGCCACCTAGGGCGGTATCTAACATGGTTGTGGGACAATCGTGAAAACATGTGTGTTCCTAACGCCCCAGAGTCGGATAGGCGTGAAAACACCTCGGTTCCTAAAGCCGCAGTGCGAGACAGGCGTGAAAACACGTGGGTTTCTCACGCCCCAGAGATCCTGGCCTTGGGAGCGCGGATGCTACGTAATGGGGACATTAACGCAGGCGCCTACTCCAGCTGTACCCGACAGCCTTCCCGACGGCGTTCCCGACGGCTTTCCCGACAACGTTTCCGACGCCGTACCCGACTGGCTTCCCGACAGCTTTCCCGACGCCGTACCCGACAGCCTTCCCGACGGCCGACCCGACGCCCAGCCCGACTGCCGACCCGACGTTTTACCCGACGGCCTTCCCGACGCCGTATCCGACGGCCTTCCCGACGTCGTACCCGACGGCCTTCCCGACAACGTTTCTGACGGCCGACCCGACGTCGTACCCGACGGCCTTCCCGACGCCGTACCCGACAGCCTTCCCGACGGCCGACCCGACGCCTAGCCCAACGGCCGACCCGACGGTCTTCCCGACGCCATACCCGACGGCCTTCCCGACGTCGTATCCTACGGCCTTCCCGACGCCGTACCCGACGGCCGATCCGACGCCACACCCGACGGCCTTCCCGACGCTGTATCCGACGGCCTTCCCGACGCCGTTTCCGACGGCCTTCCCGACTTCATTCCCGACGCCGTACCCGACGGCCTTCCCGACAGCGTTTCCCCGACGCCACACCCGACGGCCGACCCGACGCCGTATCCGACGGTCTTCCCGACGCCGTAACGCCGTACCCGACGGCCTTCCCGACAACGTTTCGGACTTCGTACCCGACGGCCGATCCGACGCCGTACCCGACAGCCTCAAACCCTAAGGCCGTCCCAGCGACAGTGTCGTCTGCAGTTGGCGATCAGCATTTGCAGAACATTCAAGGTGAGCGGTTCGACCTCATGAAGACGTGCAGGCACGTCTTAATCCACCTTCCACGAAGGAGCAATACGAACATTCTGCTTCGTGTGGATGGGGACGTGCAAAGGCTGGGTGGGCAATGCGCTGACGCTGACATCTATTTACGAGAGCTGAACATCACAGGGTCGTGGGCGAATGTGAAACGCGCTGGCGGTTTTCACTACCGCGCTCAGGGCGTCGGCCGCCAGCGCTCCCGCTGGGTCAAGTTCGGGACCGTCCAGGTGAAGGTCGCCCACGGGCGCACACAACATGGCTTCCAATATCTAAACCTCTACGTGAAGAACCTCGGTCGCGACGGGTATCAAGTGGGAGGCTTACTCGGCGAAGATGATCACACCAGGGAAGCGATGGTGCCTGAGAGTTGCCATCATCGGGTCGCCTTGTAAACAAGGCGCTGCGGCAGTTACTCTAATGCTGTATTGAGTGGGGTGCATGGCTCCTGTTCCTGTTCCTCTGCTCCCTTCTCGAAGACGCCTACGGCGAATCACCGCCGCCCCCGCCTTTCAGAAGCGCGAGCTCGGCCACGCCATCGGATCATGTGTTCCTTCAGCCGTCGTGAAAGCGCTTCGGGGAACACGTGTGGGAGAAAGAGGAGGAGGAGGAGGAGGAGCAGGAGGAGGAGGAGGAGGAGGAGGAGGAGGAGGAGGGGAGGAGGAGGAGGAGGAGGAGGAGGAGGAGGAGGAGGAGGAGGAGGAGGAGGAGGACGAGGAGGAGGAGGAGGAGGAAGAGGAGGAGAGATTTCGTCGGGCTTTCCTGGAGGCTTTCTCGGAGGCCTCTTCCGTCCTCTTGGGCTATCTTGGGTGCGTCTTGGGCCGTCTTGGAGACATCTTGCGGCCATCCAGGGCTCCCGTGAGGCCATCTTAGATTTTAGACATCTTGGAGGCATCTTGGACGCCATCTTCAGCAATCGTGGCCGCCTCTGGAGAGGAACAAAACGATACTCTGGGAAGTTCACGGGTCTGCCGGGGGCGTTTGGGAGGCCATTTTGAGGCCACCTGGCGCGGGCCGACCGATGAATTGGGTAGTTTATGGGTTTTGGGTGGCTGGATCGGCCGACAGTCCATTCAGAATTTACAGAACAATCTGGCGAATGGCCCAACCATATGCGGTTGTGAGTACCGTGTTGTGGCACCGCTTTCTGTGGAGCTCCCTCTGGGGCCACGAACCGTGTGAATGGTGCGCCAAAGCGGAGCGGCGCCGCCATGCGAATTTTGCGATTGGTGCTTTTGCATGAGCTCCTTTATGAGGCCACAACCCGTGTGAGGCGTGCGCCAAAATGGGGCGACGGCGCCATGCGAATTTTGCGACTGGGGCTTTCGGTGGAGCTCCTTTATAGGGGGCACAAGCCGTGTGAGGGGTGCACCAAAATGGGGCGCTGCCGCCATGCGACCTTTGTACTAGGGCCTTCGCTGGAGCTCCTTGTGGGGCCACAAACTGTGTCAGGGGTGCGCCAAAATGGAGCGGCGCCGCCATGTGAATTTTGCCGCTGGGGCCCTCGGTGGAGCTCCCAGTGGGGCCACGATGCGTGTGACGGGTGTGCCAAACTGGAGGGCGCCACCAGGCGAACTTTGCCATTGTGGCCTTCCTTGGAGCTCCTCATGGGGCCACGAGCCGTGTGAGGGGTGCGCCACAATGGGGCGGTGTCGCCATGCGAACTTCGCTACTAGGGCCTTTGGTGGAGCTCCCTATGGGGCCACGAGCCGTGTGAGGGGTGCGCCACACAATGGGGCGGTGCCGCCATGCGAACTTTTCTACTGGGGCCTTCGCTG